CTCCATAGTCGGTTGAGCTGTATATGTAATATGGATATACGTTGTGAGCATTGGCTAATGAAGACATTTGTTTCTCGCAAATGGTTATAGGCGATGTGTCTTGTAGGACCACGCACATGATTAATCATCTTTGGTTTCAGTTGTCAAAGTTGTCTAGTTACACGATTTTCTAATACCATAGTTTCATCTCGTCTGAATTTCCTAGGATTTTCCAGAAACCTCATAGTTTTTATTTGTACTATATATATACTATGCTATATTATACTTCCTTTTCAGATTTCAAGGCACCATATCAGGTTCCCGACAATGACTTTAAGTATAAAGGGTATTGAAGTATGAAATTACTTAATGCTAAACAAAATTTAAGGATTTGAATTAACAGGTCTTTTTTCTTCATAAATACCCTATTATTTAATAAAGTTATTTGAAGTATTCTATAACTGTCAACTTCAGCAGTCATAAAAATCCTATAAAAAGTTAAATGACTATCTTCTTTCACATTCTAAACGATTTGCCTATTATTGATTCACAATTCATTTTTTGACATTATGGTAGTAACTGTTGGTAATTTAAGATACCAGAATATATTTAGTGGAAGATAAATAAATGAGCTACAAAGAAATTCATTATTGATTCCATAAATAATACTGTTTTCCCTTCACACCTTGTGGAGGAGTTTCGTTCTACCTGAGCTACAAATGTTCTCATTTCATACACATTCAACAAACTAATTACACTAAAACATTTAAACTACTTTATATTTTGTGAGTAATATATAGTTTTAAACCACATTCTACTCAGCCATATACCTGAAATCATTTGACACTGATGAATTAACTAATTATCAAGATAATTATTTACAAGTCTTTGTATATAACGTGAGCTGAGAAATGATAAGGAAAATAGTAATAAAGTCTTGGTTTAAATTTGTCGTTGCTATTTCAATCTTGCAGGTTATAATTAAAATTTTATGAAAGTTATCATGGTTGATTTCTCCTAAATGATCGTTTACTGTGAGACGAGAATTGAATTACCGGTGCTTTATTTAAGAGTCATTTTATAAGGCAATCTAGTGTTTGAAAGTATTCTTATTGTTATCATTAATCAATGAACTATGAGCTATTATTTTAACTCTTAGCTAGAGATTAAAAAACCTGTTTTATTTAGATTGTCGACTATATATTAGTTCGTACGTTAAATTCTTCTTTCTTGATGCAAATTGTCAACTCTTCAGCCAAGCAATTCTTTGAGTTTATTTATTGACCGAAAGGTTTATCGGATCTTGAATTCCTGAAGATTCAAAAATAAAAATTTCCACTGTTCTTCCTTTTATACAAAAAAAATTAGATTATTCGAATTCCTTTTTGAAGCTATGTTACAGTAACTGGTGTATTTTTTGTATGTGGATTTTTACAGTATGCTTATAAATAATTAACTAAATGGGAAACATTTCCATTCAGTAAACAATATCATCATGTTACTATGCGATTTACAATCATTTAATAATAGTATTTGTAATAGTATTTCAATGATATATCTTCGAAGTTTTACTGGAAAATATTTGATCAATAGATTTTGAAAGAATACAATATCAGTGAAGACCAGTTCAGCTGATCAGCTAACTGTGGAAAAATTTTGTTATTAAGATCCAATAAAAATGCTGGAGCAATTTATATGGGAAATAAATATTCTCCAAATTAATAGAAGTGACTGGTTTCAATAGTTCAGAGACAGAAAACCAGTCAACATAAAAAATACCATAAATGAAGTGAATTAGTGTATATTAATCAGTTTTTTGTAGAACAGATAGGCACTTATCAATGCAATCCCAAAATCTGTTCGATTTTAAATTACTTCTGGAAACGTTTACCAAACAAATAACTATTTTTAACGTTTGAAAATCTCGTTTGCTGACCGTTTGGTTCTTTTGAATTGTTATGAGCTAAAATATAGTTTAAAAATAATTTATATTTGTAATGGACCACAAGTGTTGAGATTTTATATTTCAGTGAAGTGCCTACCTGATAATGTCATGCACTTTTTATTCAAAGCGATTTAAGAAACCACCGATATTGTTGGATTTTAACTGAGTAAAAATAAAGTACCAATTTAGTCAAGCTACAAATTATCAATACAAGTTATTGTTGCATTTTGAAATTTGTTAGATATGGCTCACAGTAATTACCAATAATGAAAGGCCTAGACTGTTTTTATACGAAAGGCGATAAGGCGACAAGTGATTTGCGAAATTGCAACAATAATCTCAAAAGATAAAACTCAACAATACGGTAACGTTCCAGAAGATCTAATATTTAACGAAGAAAAACCAAAATTTAATAACCCTATATAATATGGGACTAGATATGATCTTATGATGCATAGAAAGATTGACATAACTAGAATCAGTTAGAAAATAGCCGACGTTATGTAGAAATATGAATCATTGAAAATATAATCCGGATTGTCGTTAAGAGGAAGAGGACTAACATAATAATCTGGGTGGGATCGTCTTAGCAGTTACAAAGGCGTAATTTTGCCACTGTTAATAAATCAACTAATCAATGAAAAACACTCAATCGAATACGCTTTAAAAATCCGATCCCAGTAACACAGATTTATCCTCACTCTCATCTGATGCATGCAACAATAATTCAGTGATTATGAATCAACTTTTCTCATACGCCTTTTGATTCTAGAAATGATGACCAAGACCTGAATCTGATAATCAGGTTTTAATTTCATAGACTAGTGAATGCTATAGAACATTAATATCTTACGATGATTCACCTTTTACGTTTATGAATTCTATCTACGAGTTAAGTCATTGGCTACGAATCTCGTCCTCAATGCGATATTTATCCATGTTTATTCTTGCGAAAATTATTTTTTTATGTATGCCTCAGTTTACAAGAAATGACTACATTGTGCAGTGGTTCCTTATTCACTCATGTGTAATCGTTACTCGACTACACTGTTCACATCACGTCAGAAGATACACAGCACATTCAATTTCCCTCCACCACAGAACTAATTATCCAGTTATAATGCCATCGTATTTTTAAAAATGCCTGATACCATGATAAGCGGTTCAGTCCTTATATCTAGCTTTTAAACTAAGCTCTTCTATGGTAAACACAAAGTTAGATATTTTAGATTGCTTATTTAACCAGTGCGAGTTCGAAAAAGGTAGAATAGTTTCAAACCCAATAAAAAATGATATTTATTTCATACAACTACTATTAATTGATCTATAGAAGAAATCTACAGCATCACTGATTATAGAATAGCAAGCAAGTTATCCAGCTGTGATAGGGTAGCTGCTTAAAAAGTGAAAGGATGTAAATATGTCATTTCTATCACATTCGTTCTCTAAAAACTAAGGACATTAGAGTATAGTAAGTCCTAATCTTTTGATAAATATGAACATATCAATGACAAACTTATCAGAATGACAACAAGCAACTTAAAATGCATTTTTCCTACTGGCGTTAAAATGATCATCCAAAAACTTTAAAAAACTTGGAGTTAACATTGCGAAATCATTGATTTCACCTAAATTGTAGTCTTTTTCAAACTTATCATGTATTACGTAGACAGTTATAGTTTGCAACTATTCATTTAGTTTTACAGTATAAACTAGTGATTTTTAAACCGCGATTCGAGATTAATGACTTTCGCTTTTATAATTTATGAATTATTATTCTATCTCCTATAGAAATTTAAGTCAACCATTTTGGATGGAATTTGCCTGTTACTGAGGGTTCCACTTATCCCGTTGTCGATGTTCAAGACTGAATTTTAATCAGTCTATGTTGCTATAACTGTTAAGAAGCCATGAAAAACCAATAAATTCATTTATTCCGTAGAGAAAATCCACACTAATATCCTAGCCAAAAATAACTTTTTGACTTTAAATTAATTCTCTTTCAAAATTAATCGTGAATCGTCATTTGTGTCAAAAAATAATATGATAAAGATTACAAATATTGCCAAATAATGCTGAAGAGAACACACCATTATCTACAGTCTTTTCTGGCTTCACTGAGCAATAATGTCTTCTTCTGCTGCTGACAGATACTAAGAACAGACTCAGTTAAAGCAAACCTTCCAGATTATGTACAAATATCTGAGTGATTTATAATGCAGCCTAAGAATATGCCGCTATTAACTAGCGGAAATCGATGAGATTGGAAAGTAGACTCATGTTCAAGACAAAAAATGCATTCAACCTTGTTGTCTACCATGGTTAGAGACAGAATCATTACACGATTCGTTTAATCCTCGATAACAGTTACATACTATGGATTTATATTCCAACTCTTTTTTATGCAACAATTTGTCCTAGCCTATCCTATAAAACCATCCTAACAACAGAACAATCGTCTTTCTTAGTTTACAGTTCTTCTAATTATTACTACTACTCTTATTATCACGATAATCATGAAAAAAATTTCTATTTTAAAAATCACATTAACATGGTTTGAATCTTTTGATGATAATTCACTCACTGTCCACTGTTCTACGACTTGTATAGGTTAATAAAGACTCAGTTTGTAAGCATTCAACATATAAATAACGTTCAGTTCATTCAGCAAAAACTTGAAGAGTAAGTAGGAAAATTCTGATCGGTGGCTTGTCCCATGACGGTTGACAGGCATAACTAACTAACTAACCCAGCAAGTAAGTAAGTAAATAACATTTAAGGATTTATGATGCTACCACCCAAAGTTGAAATTAATAATTGAGAATGAAACTGACTAGTTAAAATATGATGACTGATGATTGTGTTCACAATTTCTTAATGATACACTGGACATTGATAATTCACCTATACAGTAAAGAATGGATCGCATTTACATATCTGTCTCATATCTATCTCATATCTTTCCTTACTTTAATTGATGTCTGATTGACAAAATAACCTTCGAATAATGTGACAATTCAAGTAACTCTACAGTTAACCGAATGTACATGAAAAAAAAATTTTCGCATCTGCATTGTTCAAATTTAACCAAATTATATTATTATTGTTATTTCACAACAAATTATACACAAGATTACAGTGTAATAATTAATTATTGTCATGCAACTATCAGAGAATCATTGATTATAATAAACAAAGAGAATAGAAAGAACAATAAGTCTTACAAAACACAGCGGATGACGTAAATGAAATTTTTCAATGATGATTAACGATAGTTTTCCTTTTATTATTATTAGAAGAAAAAAATACATATATATATATATTTATATATATGTTGACAGTATTGTTAGTATCAATATTAGTAACATTAACAGTAGTGCTGACAATAATAATTGTATAATAGGGGAAAAAGACTGAAAGAATAAGAAGATTGCATACGAAATTATTTACCGAAAGTTTTAGTGTTTCAATGAGAACGCAACTAGTGAAGCATCAGGCGCATATTATGACAGCGTATACAAGATGGTAGTTAATTCCAATCAACACAGCAGCAAAAAAAAAACACAAACTAATACGAATACCATGAAATTTGTATTCATATTAGAAAATAATTAGAGATTTTCTGAACTTAATAGAAGAATGGAAGCACTGAATAATTGTCCGTAAGCATGAATATGATCAGTTTAGGTTCGATCGTAATTGTATTGTTGCTTCAATCCAAATGTTTGGCCTTTCACACATAGCCAACCAAGCGGATTTCTCAGCATTTGTTGCATCCAACCATGGTTGATTATCTAGAGATAATGAATAATGAGAGTAAAGCTTATCACTAAAAGGTAGCAATATAAATGGCATATCACAGCTCCAACAAATCTATCCAAAAAAAGTATCTAAGACTACATGTTTGACGAGTGATTCTTGGTTTTGAATATCTCAGTAGTTACAGTCGAGTCATGAACAAGACAGACAATAGAATAAATAATCAGCTGGCAAGCATTTTCACTTGTGTCACTTTGATTTTCCACTTCACTTATTATTTCTCATCTTAGTGTCACTTAACTATTGATCTATGCATTGATTCATGGTTCATTTATCACTAAAACAGTAAGTTCTGCATAATTTCGATAAGTTTAATTTGTTGTTATCATTTGGGTGAATAAATGTTACTTTTTTATAACCGAAAGCTAGTAGTATTCCCTTCATTTCGTAACATATATGAACATAAACACTTTACGAATAGATGAGTGACGAACTTAACACTTCTTTATCTATTTTATAAGGTCTCTTCTCGAAGAACCACAAAACCTGGGTTTTTTTTCAAATATTATTTATAGACTTCAAGTGAAGTTGGCAAATATGTAATAGTAATAAAAACGTACGTGATCCACAGTTGATTCGACATCCTCCAAGGAAATCGTTCGATGAGAATCGATCGTAATCCCAAACAGAAACTTCTATTCCAATTTCATTTAAAGAACTCAGTATAATATCTCTGTATATAATAGCTTGATTCCATTCAGGATTATTATTCTTTCTGACAACTTTTGTCTTTTGTTTCGAATACTTTTCTTTACCGGGCAACATATATCTGGAAATCCGATATGACATGGTTAAAAATGTGTTAGAAGCAAAACTTCGTAGGTAGTGTACTGTCCATTAGATAGATAAAAATCAAAAGTTTTTTTGATTATGTATGGACTAATTTAAAACTAATTCAACATTAAATAGACTGTTTAGTCAATTATTCAATCACCTTCATTAAACAAGAGTTCGTAAATTATGGATATTGCACTTTTAATAGTTAGAATTTCCTTGACTGTTGGTGAAGAGTTCTTCAAAACAACAACAACAACTGTAGAAAACTAATTACTTGGAAAGTTTCTGGCGTTTCTCTTAAACTATGTCCAGAGTCGTTATGAAATTACGAACTACTGACTGAAGTAAGATTTGAAATTTGTCTTTAGGTTTATCTATTTAAAAATCTAGGATTACCGAATGATGAAGCTTAAACAAAGAGACTAGAACATCAAAAGGAAGTTTGTTATCAAGAAAAAGTAACTGGTAAATCTCAACTTTATAAGCTAATAATTCATGAGGTAGACTTTTCTGTAATTTAGATTCTGATATGTCCTGGTACACGATCTCTATGATCCTTTTGTGTGATTAATATTTTTATTAAGCCAGTCAGTTTAAACTATTCAACAATTTTCCCAAATGGAATTACAGATAGAAAGCTTTATCTAAAGTACCAACTTTCCATAATTTCAAGACTGATACTGTTACCTTGTTAACAGATCCGATTAGTACAGAAGGGGGTTAAGATTTTTGTCAGTTGGTGTTTTTGGGTATAATTCCGTTGTTGTTGTTGCTTTATCAGTTCATTCGACCATATCATATGCAAAAATCAAGAATACTAATATAAACCGAGAATAATCAATCGTAGAATGAATAAAATTTCTGTATACAAGTTAAATTTACATTCTATCACTATTGTATATTAACTGAGAACGTAACAAAACTAAAATTTCTTTAATTTAGAGTCACACGAATAGTGAATATGTTGTAACTTGATAGATGTGATTGGGTAATGGTGAATTCCCTCACGATTACAAATGATCAGCTGAGGCCTTGAGAACACGGTAGTAGCATCTTCGATGATGAAACTGAGTGGGGTGGGTTTGAATCTTATTCGGAGCATAGGCTCCGATAATGGCGGTACATTGTATTAGCAAATACAATGTAGCATAAAGCCTGGACTCAAGGCTTTACGTGATTCGCTCCAAATACCTAGAGTTCATACTTTTACAAGATCTAATACAAGATTGTACCATTACTAGGAATTAATAATTTTTGAGACGACCGTAACACAACCCCAAAGATATCTATAATAAACTCAGTCACATCATATTTCTTAGTGACGATAGAGTTCCTTCACTCCCCTTGCTTTTGTCATCACTGTGTTTTTTAAGAGTACACTGACATTTTATATGTAAATCACTATATTTGTGTGTACACTGGAAATAGGTTATCGTCAGAAAAGTAAGTTTTAGTGGATTGATAAATACTGCTATCATTGTTAGTTCTCAGAATATTAACAAGACAATTTGGATAAGAAAATCACCCTATGAAATTTCTTACGTGAACTTACATTTTTACATAAGGATCAACATTATCCTTCTGTGGAGCTATCCCATCAGTAGACGTACACAATCCTTTGGCAGATTTTATCCATACATGAATTTCACCTCGATTACTACCTGTCTCACCTGGTACGAGTTTTATGGCCAGAACTATCTCACCTCGATTGATTTGTAAGTGGGATATAGTTGGAAGCAAACGCTACAGAGTTAAATTTTCATAAAAAGTACTATTAAACTGAAATTAATCAAAAGTTTAAAAAAGTATCAAGTTGAAATCAAATCAACAAACCAAAATGCCGCTTATATAAAATTTTCCATTTATTACTTTCACAATGAATTTTACGAACAATCATTTTACAACAGTGTCAAATGTGTCCTTTCACTTCACCGTTTCTCTGTATGTTCTCTGATGTTTGTTTGATGTTCTACAAGTATGGAAGGACAAGTAATCATTAATTGGCTTATTGTTTTACGAAAAACAAAAGCGACTACTGTGAAGTTTCAAGCTTTAAACATTTATTAACACCAATAATAACAGTCATAAAATTTCAATTATATTTGCTTAAGTCATTTTATACTCCAAGTTGGTTTGTTAAAAAGTATTGCTAACAATCCAGAATCTTTAACATAAAGTTTTCTTCATCACTTAAAAGATGATCCGAGTTTATTTTTTTTGCTTTAACTATGATTGAAAACTTAGTGGTACAGTCTTAATGATTATGGATTAGGACATTTTGTTTGTTGTTAATCTAATGGCCTGTCATTATCTACTGTCAGCATAAGAGTGCATTTCAAAAGTCACTTTGAATGATATTTATTATGAAATTAAATCTATACACAAAATGATGATGATGGTGATGATGATTGGATTTTACAGAGGCTAGGCATTTCCATGTTACATTTTTAAAAAAATAATTTTTCTGCTTAATCGACTGTCTAACACCGAAATTCCATCCAAAACATTTGGAAAATTATAACTATATTTATGTTAACAATGTCTATATCACTCTAGACTATAATTAATCTTCAATATCCATTTTCACTGGTGAGTTTAATAGTAGTAGTCTCATCTACTGAATTGAAGTTGAGGTTGTGAAATATTAGAGAAGATTACAAACGTATCGAATTATCACGCCTGATATTCTTCGGTTTTCTTATGGTCTGTTAATATCGAAAGCAGTTTATTTGACTTACTATATTAAATGGCTACATGACGATAACTTTTACGATCTGTAAATTCCTGTACCTATTATTTCTAAATTACTTTGCATTATTTTCTTCCTGAACTTTAGAGAAAAGATTTGCCTGTATTGAGTAGAGCATTGAAGATAATTATTAGGGTAAGTAAAAAACCTTTGAAATTTTTTTAAACAACTGGTAAGGGTTATATTGCCATATTCAGGATGATATAGTGAACTGTGTGAATCACGTAAGCGCCTTCCATTCCATGCACCTAATTCTCCTTGTATACATGGAAAGACTGTGCTGAAAATTCCATATTATGCTCTATACACGATATCAAGTAAGGTGATTAATATCATCATTTTGGAATAATGCAAGCGGTTTGCAGCTCAGGGAGATATTTTCGATGAGGTGTCATATTGTGAGCTAAGTGATTTAATCGTAAGATGTTCACTGCTTATCTAGACATCATCAATTCAGATATTTAGCTAGAAAGACGATAACATCTTAACGAATTAATCACTCAGCTCAGAGAATACAAATCCGCCGAAATGATTACCATTTTTTATTTTTCAACTGATGTTTATGTTTATTTTTACAAAAGGTGGCTTTTTTCAAAACCGACTGACAATCTTTTATGCCCATTTCTTTTATAAGTGGAAGTTATACCTTCGATTGTTAACTTAACTGCACAAAATGTATTGTAACCCTAAATAGAAATACGAAAACCTAAGATTCTGAAGTATGCTAACTTCAAATCCGCAGGTGATCCAGAATTAAATACACTCAATGAGGGGACTTTGTTATTGATCGTCTTAGGAGAGATTCCTTTGTGGTGTGAAGCCTTTAGGTTTTCATAGAGTATCACATGACTGATTAATATGAGTGTTATTGGGAAAGGATTGTTATAAAACTCATTACACTTATGGTGTAACTAATTAATCGATATCATGTTAAGATGACTTGGTCATTGAAACCCAAAATAGAATGCATCAATTTACTTACATGTTCACCAAGTGTATACCAATGAGAGGCTTGATCGAATTGATGGAAAGTCAGTGGTAAAAAAATTTCGCCCAAAAATAAATTCAAACCCAATGCATTATGATGCCAAACAGACACTTGAAGTGTACGCGAAGTTAAATCTTGTCTTAGTATATTATATTTAAATTCTTCATCAAAGACTGGATTACATGTTGCTTTTTTGTGTGTAGTCTTTCGCTTACTACTTTTAGTTCTATCCGGTAGTAGATAGCATTTCACATAGCTAGGTTATTGTAAAATAACAGAAAGGCATAAAAATTATTGAGTTATAATGAAATTGAATAAATGTGTATTGAAAAGAAATATTTTGGTTGCCACGACATGATAAAAGAGCACTTGTGTCAACTCCACATTATTTGAACCCATTGTTCAACTTATAATTTCATGACTCTTTGGGTGGATGTCTTTATAGAGATCTTGGAAGTTGACTTATTTTCATTTGTTTGAAGCTTAGGGACACTGTAAAGCATAATGCAAATTTTCTACTACTGCCACTACAGTAAAGACACTTTATATTTTATTTCACTGTCAGATTTAAGATTTTAGGCTATGTAGTTTAGTGATCTTACAATATTACTATTCTTTTTCGGCAGAAACAGTTATAATAAATGTTACACATCATCAGTCGTAATGTAAATTTATCTACCATACATTAGTCGGAATACAAAAAACCTGACATATACTCAGTAGTCAGATCATTCACATGTCTATAATTTTGTGGTTTGAGAAAACTTTTGATAAACGTACGTAAAGATAGCAGAGAACGTTTATCAAGACCGAAAACGACATAATTACTATGTAAGAAATGGAAACCCGATTGTAAAAGTGTATTCGAGCCTGAAAGGAAAGTGCACTAAATACAACGTTTGGAATTCTTGTGAAGCACCAAGAACTTGTTCTTTGTGTACGATTAATGAAGTAAGGTTATATATCACAATCGTCAACTAGGCTACTCAATATGGCTGATGAGAATGAGCGGATTATAATTACTCAGATCGTTTACTAGTTTGTGTGACAGCTCGAATCTAAAAAACCCATTAGGTCATCCAAGGGTCATTTATGATCTTTATGAAACTCATAATCCCTGTGTGATTCCAACCTACATTACCCAAGAATTGGCTTTCCTACGACCGACCTTTTCCGATAATCAAGTGAAAGGGCATGTCAAATCAACTAGACTAGTGGGCACATTGCAGCTTGGTTGACAGTATTCGACTACAACTAAAATTAGACTGTTAGAAAAAGTTATTAGAGAGTAAAAATGGAACAAAAAAATTGTCAACCATCGATTATTAGGAGAAAATTTAAACTTACGGATTGGTTGTGTTACGCTTTCGGTCTGCTATCGCCAGGTTGCGTGCCTGTTTAATACTGATTCGTAGTGTATTATATGCATCATCATAAAAGACAGCCATCAGCATTTCTCCACATATCTGGATGCCATGACTGTAACTTGATTCGCGTTCACTGTATACACTTAAGGAAGATCCATGGCTGGTCTTATTTCGAAAAAGCAAGTATAAAACAAGGTTTTAGCAAAACAGTAAACAAATGTTGTGTAATCTTTAAATAATAGCTTAATTATTTTCTCGTTATTCGAATGAATAGGAGCTAATCAGAAGCTATAAAGTTATATCAAAAAGTTCTTGAAGTTTCTCGCCACAGTATCACATCATGTCCTGGAAGTGAATATGAAACATCATCAAGTTATTTCATCAGTGTTAGTCAGAGTTTGCAGATAAAGTAATTTATCCTTGTCCCTCAGTTAAACGGAACAAGCCTAGGGATTTGTTTATTCACTTTCAAATATGTAGTTAAATGCATTAACTTGTCATGCCCATTAGATGGAAGTTATGATTACATTTCCTTGCTGGTTAATAGAAAATAGCAATTCGTCAGATTTTATCATCTAGTGAACAACAAAGTACTTGCAATTTGTAAATTAAAGCTTGTTTAAATTATTTAACAATAGATTCGCTTTACTAATTCCTTTACAACTTGTATGAAGTGAGTTTATGAGAAATGAATAGTATCTACTGATTTACTTGCAACTTGATAATGCCATTTTATTAACGCTTAATTCAAAATACCTGATTCATTTCTTAAAGAACTGTTTTATGATGTTTTTTCATGATAAAATATTATAGAAACACGAAATATATTATTTTTCTACTAGATGGGGTCGCAAACCTCATGTACAGCCCCCTTCTTTATCTGGGTTTGGGATTGGCAGTAGCCTCAGAGGGGTTCCAGGCAGACACCATCAGCAACAACCTACCATGGGAAAGAACAAACCAGATTTCAGTGGAGGAGGAAATCAGGAAGAAGCACTGGAAGTGGATGGGACGCACACTGAGCAAAGCATCAAACTGTGTTACGAGACAAGCTCGTCCTTAGAACCCTCAAAGTCAAAGGAAGAGAGAAAGGCTAAGAAACACATTACGCCGAGAAACGGAGACGGACATGAGAAGAATGAACAAAATTTGGACAGAACTGTAAAGGGAGGCCCAGGAAAGAGTAGGTTGGAGAATATTGGTCAGTGGCCTATGCCCCACCGGAGGTAACATGCGGTAAAAGTACGAAATATATTACTGGGTTAACGCCTAAAGCTAACCATCTTGATCTGTCCTTATCTGTGACACAAGAATAACTAAAGACAAAACCATCTATTGGCTTAATTGTACTTGTTCTTTTAATGATGGATAGAGGAAGCAGATAATTCCAGGTGCTTTATTTTGACTTTCCATTAAAAAAACATATGCATATGGTGTACGGGAGCTGTTGAATACTCATTTTTTTGTCTCATTGAGATATGAATGCTAATGATCAAATTCAAGTCTTCCCATTAAAAAATTATTTTAAATTAACCTTGAAATAGAACCCATTCATTTTCAATGTTTGTTATTTGTTGGATATCAAGCATCATCATGCATTTTTCTACTCATTTAGCTGGTGAGTGCTGTATAAAACAGCATAATTTTCACAGAGGATTTCATTTCAAAGTCTAACTTTTACTTGCTTTACTTTTTCATCTGGCAAGTTGGTATGTATGACAGTGGTATTGTCAAAGAAGACATACTGATAGCTTTAGATGATTAATACGAAATCCTCAGTGAAAATTATGCTCACTCTCATCCATTAAATGAACGGAAAAAAATGCTCGAAAATGCTAGAGAAATCACTTTGATTGGACGCTGGAAAAAATATGGATAACTTCAAACTGAGAACTTTAGCGTAACAATGAACAACACATCACTGATTCCGATTTTAATCAACCGATATGTATTGATTCCTCTAAAAAAAACATGTTAAAAGATAAATTTCTTAAAATGCATAAACCTCTCAGCTTAGAATTCAAGAAATAATTTAACCATAATAAAAAGTAGATACAAAACTGTATCATCACAGAGGTAAAGCGAAATTCTTTAAAAATGTTTTAGCGATACAATACACAGAAGCTATAAACTATCCATTATTTTTCTGCTGTTTTCTTCGAATCATACGACAATGATGTATATTACAGTCATATATACATACACACAAATATATGATAAAACAAGTAGTTCATCGACAATATTACTGGATCACACCACACACTACACATGGTTCTAAAAGTTTATTTTAATTGAATTTTAAAGTCGACCTGTAAAACTAAGATAGATATTATATTCGTGTATATGAAACGGAGTAACATGTTCATGACACACAATTAACATACACTTTTATGAACAAAACGTTGAACACAAACGTTTCAGACATTGTAAAGTCACTCATCTAAACTACTGGTGGATATATTTATCCAAAAATTATAATGTTCTAAGCTCTAGCAATCGTGTTAGGTTTGACAATATAAAATATATACTTTCATAAAATTACAAGCATAAATGCATAGTAATTATCTTCAGTCGTCATATCATGAAGAATTTAGTAGTAGGATCGATAAATATGATTGAATGATTCTGGGCGTTCTCCATAAAGTTCAGTCAGAAAGAGAAAAGTCTCGGTAAAAGGCAGTTCAGAGATTATTTATAACGGTAACCCAATAGCAAATCACATTCTGTCAAAGAAAAGCTGTAATTTTCAAACAAACGACAGTAATGTTTTGCGCATGAACAACTGTGCAATAAACAAAAAGCAAGAATCGAACAAATCACCATTGAAAATAAAACTAAAACGACATGATTGTTTGAAAATTCACCACATTTAAAAGTTGTACCAAAGAAAGACACATAAAAACTGCAAGCTACCAACAAAAACGTATCACATCTTTAAACGACACGTAGTATACAGAACAAGCGTACATATATTCCAACTTAGAATACTGTAGACAAACCACTAATTTGATAAGCAAGGCATGAAAATGGGTCATAAAATACTTTTCATGTTTACATGATTTTTATCTAGCTTGATGTGAAACAGCGACCTAAAACTCTGTGCTGGACTAAGACCTTTTGCATTAGCCTCATTGGTATTGGTTTCATTTATTCTTGATAAAGGTGTACTTTCACAATCATGAATATGAACAAGGTCTGATTCATTCAGGGAAGTGCTTTTTCTTCGATCTTGAACATTTAAAACTTTAACCGAGTTAATTTTTGTGGGAGTTTGTATACTATCAGGGTATACCTAAAACATACAGATTAAAGAAAATCATAAAATAATAATTAGAATACGATCGTAACAAATTGAAAATGAAAATAGCCTAAAGAGGTGGGTGGCTCAACTTCATCATTTTGTGAAAAGATGTATCTTTCATGCTTCTAATTTTAGCTAGTGCAGTAATTTGAATTTGTTAGTTCAGATTCGTCTGAAATAAATAAAATTCACTAATTAGATAAAAGTTTTAGGCACAAAACGAGTACATTATAAGTTAAACAGAAAACGTCGTTAAAATGCGCATCAGAAATCACGTCTGTGAAACGAAAGCAATCCAAGTATTCTGTTGATAAAATGGAAAATAAAAGCCTTTCCTACGAATAGTTCATTCGACAATTTGGATTATGGTATCCTTTGAGAATCTAAATTATGAATAGGATTAAATAAGAAGCAATCGAACAAACGTGTTAAGATTTTGAAAGCATCTGTTTAGGGAACTTCGCATTTACATTCATTACTTTCTACATCATTTATTGGTTTAAGAAACCCTAAAACCTATGTCATACGTATAAATAGCACATTATAAAACTACTAAAGGTTTGACCATGAGTATAATTAGTAAATATTTGTTCAGCTAGAAATTTTTGGAGAAATTTGTCTATTTAAGTAGTCGATATTGAGTTCTAGCTGACACGAAATTTAGACCTGTTAACATACTGACGTCATCTAAACGATGTTTAACTTATGCTCAAATGAAAATAAATAAGTCAGCCACAATGGATATGGAATCTGCTATATGTAGGCAAAGACTTAGGTTACCCCACCATTTGCGCACAATAGGTTAGTATTATGAGGACAAACTTCAGGGTAGTAGAAGTAGTAGTAGTTGCAAAAAAGACTAAGCGTAGGGGGAAGACAAAAGCTGTTATATAATAGAGGCCAAAGTCTTCAGAATAATTCTGAGTCCTACCATCCAAAGTCCCCAACTACCGATCACGATTAGAGGATGGACCCAAACCACAGTCTGCATTTACCTAGGATCCCCAGCATAAAAGTCAGTGATTCCATGAACTGATACCATTTCTTAGTTTGGCTGCTCGTAGCTTCCTTCTAGTCTGCTCTTACAACAGACAACATCGCCCATCAAGGTGCGTGGTCGATGGGTATATGTAGTGCAACTACTTTGGGTTCGCTCTGCATATGAGCCCTAGTTAAGGGTTGACTATTTATCAAGGCCAATGCTTTGAACATCACAATGGTCAAATCGATTCTTCTATCACTGTTATTTTGAGTGGTCGCGTTCCAGACGATATTCCTATTCTATATGAGTAATGAATCTAGAAACGATAAAAAAACTTCAACATCTCCCATTTATAATAGGGTTTTATAACCCAAACTTTGGAGAATCCGTAAACAATTGTACTACTGCTTCGAAAGGGTATAATGAGGTAGGTGTAGACTACCTGATTGGAGAGCGCCTGATTATCGTTACCAACAGTTAGAGATTTTGAATGATAAGATTCAATATCGTTAGCACTGACGCAGATGTATGTACTCTAAGCTTCGAAATCCCTTATAACATATTTGTTTCGTTAATTAGTATTTTTTTGTCTTCCCTTAGATCCTAGGCTCCTAAATAGCTCATATTATTTAAAATTAGCTAGTTTGTATTTCCTTTAATCATATCTTTGATATCTTTGGTGAATTACTCTTTAGTTGTTATTTGTTAGATTAAACTCTTACTACACACGATTTTTAAAAAAACCCGAAAGTTTCCAATATTTTTTTTAGATTATCAAGTTGAATAAACAAACAGATTTATCAAATTACAAGAATAAAAAAGAAACATTGGATGTGTAACAAAAAAGATTGAAAGATTCTAGTCAACAAACATAGTCAGTCACTCATTGTGTTAAATAAACAACAAGTCGTAATGATCAAAAAAGTTGTCTGTATTTTTTTTCTAAAATCAAATCGTGTTCAAATGAGGAAAAAAAATGAAGCGACAGATGCACATGTATGAGAGTTTAACAGTTTGCGCTATACGATGACATGCGTCAAGAATTGGACAAAATAGTTCGTTACTTCCACATAGTTTACAAGGCTTTTTATCAGCAACACTCAAATATGACACTAAAACCTAATAAGTATTGCAACGAATGAAATGAATAAACAGAAGCCTTGAGTTGCACTCACAGTTGAAGTTTTACAGTAGTGAGATTGTTAGCTTAGTCAGAAAGTATTTTTCAAATACTGAAAACGGTTAACTGTGATACACATAGTTTAGTTCAAAGAAAGGAAACATTTTTAAATCATAACTTTCAATGGTGGCGAATCTACTAATTAGAACAACTTATTTAAGCGGACAAAATAATTTACAATTTGATTGTCTGTTATCAGGCTTTACTTTAATATACATGGATATGTATATGAAATTATTAAATCGACCAAGGGTAATTTATGAGTCAATCAACACAATGAAATAGATAGCATCTTGTACTTTTAGCTATTATCTATAGTTGTTTAATCTGTTTCATTGTGTTTATTGTCTCATCAATTGCCTGGATTGGTTTAGCAGTTAGAGTAAAGCCTGATGACGATCTAATTGATTTCGGCAACATTTAGTAAATAGAATGAAAATGAATAGGCCTTTAGAGGAAAAGAAAATTATCGTAAAAATATGGAAATAACAAAATGTTCAACCTAAACAATTACATTCTGTATAAACCTGAAAAAGATCATTATTAAAGAATGGGTATATTTTGCGCTCACCAACATTTTGTATTAAATGTAAAGAAAATTGATAAATAATAACTAGAAAAAAAAGAACTTATGTCAATCCTTGATGAAAAGTATTTTCACATCTAACAAATTGTCCGATGAAATCAGGCTTCTCCTACAATAGCTATTTACCTTAAAGCGTCTTACAAGCATAACACGAGTAAACCTAGTGCCTGGATGGTATCCTATCTCTCTGTTTATGGCAGATGATGAGAGAAATAGCCAATTCATTTTTAAAAAAATCCATGCACTAGATATTGCTGATCAATAAAATATTTCAACTATCAAGTTGTTTGACTGAGACGGATATAAGCCAGTAATCCATTTATACACTTACATATTCATAGATCAAATATCCTATTTCTGAATGACAATAGAGTATCTCTGAATAAATGGAAACAATATGTACAGATTTTATCATTGTTCGCTATCTAAACGTACCTGGAGAATAAATCTAATCTGCAGAGAATTATAATTTTTATTTATTTAGACATTATCAAAAACAAACCGTTTGTTGTTCCCAATCCCTACAAACATTAGATGGATTTATTCACTGTTCCACTTTGTAGATTGACTGAATAACAACCGATACTGTATTGACTTTTAAAACAAGGTTTTGTTATGATTAGTAATGATGCATTTCACTGTAACTCCTACTATAGCTACAAACGGAGAGAAGTATTACAATTTTTTTCTTCACAACACATTGTCCGATTTCAAAATTAAATGAAAAGTATTCTTTACTCGAAATCTAAACATAGTTTTCGATGTTCGCGTGAAAATTTGTATCAAATGAAACCGCTAATGGTAAAAGGAAAATTATTGATTAACTTGAATTTCTATAGAACGATAATGTATTTAGCAATAACAGTGCTAGAATGTAAAAGATAACCATTAAATCAGCGTTGCAAATGTATTTGGATAGCCAATTTCAAAAGGGTTTTTAAGTTCACAGCTTCAAGTATTTCTTACAGTAAGTCGACAGCTGATTCGGTAAGAACTCTGATCTATGGTGTCTTTCATTAGTGCTTGAAAACAATACAAAAAAAATGTGGGACAGCAGTTGATCAAATTCTGTGATCCATTAGTTATTTCAATATAAATGTTTTTCATAACATCAGTTTTTTTCACAACTGGTTTATTTAAAGCATCACTGACCAATTAATTTTTCGAAGGTCAGACTTTATCTAAACCAACCGACATAAGTAAGATCCAACTTTCAGCTATCAAACAAGCATTACACTTCTTTAAATGCTATGAATACTCATGGTAAGTTTATTAAAAACCCATAATCATTTTGCTACTGTTTACTTACTTCACTGGCTACACTTAGATTTGAATGGCTACCAGCTTCAATATCTGGACGTTTTTGGTGTGTTACTGGTATTTTGGTTGGAATCAAATCAGTATAAGAGGAATTGAGTTTCTTCTCTGGTACTAATCCCGTGTCACTACCCACAGATGGACTGTAGTATTCTGATGAGGTGAATCCAAGATTTTGCTTGCGAAGAGTAGGTTCTTTAGATATACTCGATTGATGTAACTGTGGAGTGGATGACTGTAAAAAAATACGGTTTTTAATTACTTTTAAGTTTATTATATTGTATTAATATAAGCATAACATGCTTCTAAGCTAAAAAAAACCTTGATATTCCATTGTTAAGGAAACATTTTATGTCTGGGACAATATCACTTAACAAACTGACACATTTTGAATGACGTTCACTATGACTATATAATTGGGCTTATTTTCAAATAATGTTTATTGTTATAAGTGCAAGTCCTAGCCATCGAATTAACTGATATTATATATTGACATGATGGGCAAAAACCTATGAGTAAGTTAGCTGTATAGCCATTTTGTTACTCCTTCAGAAGCCCTTCCATACAACTGTCTGTTCTAAGTCCATGTAAAGGAGGAGGGTTGAGGGTCAGGTTAGTGATCTCGAATCGTAAAAAGATACCTCTGTACACGGTAAGATAAGATTCACGAAAAGAAAATAAAGGGAAATAGCAGTGAACAACTGTTTAACATGAGCGGAGAACGCTAAGGCACTGTTAAAATATACAAAGGTAAACAAACGAGTAAAAAGCATTGGTGTGTGCATGTGGAAATATGTAGAATACTTGACAACTAGAGCAGAAAAATGTACAACGGAAAGATATAAGAAAAAACTAAATGACACGACCAATAAGTTTTCAAGGAAATATAGTGGACCATTGCAACCAGTCAGAAACGAACTAGACGAATCAATCACTGAGGTTCAAAAGCAGCGGAACAGATAGGTAGAAAACTCTGAAGAGTTCTTGATTAAATCAGCATAAGTGAACCCACTGGACGTCAAAGCAGCACAAACAGACCTGACTATTGCTGACATACCATCGACAATGGAAATCAACAAGGTCACCAGACGGATTAATGGCGATAAAGCAAGAGGATGAGAAAGCATACCAGCTGCGGCGGTAGTGGTAACTGCAAAGCTTAGGAGGCAAAACAAGTACTAATTCCTTCGGAAGATACCAAAAAAGAGGATATCTTAGTAAGTCTGATAAATAGAGAGGAATCATACTACTATTAGTACGAGACAAAGTTTTCAACAATGCTGGTAAAACGAATGAAAGATTCGGTAGACTTCCAACTTTAATATCAGCAATTCGGATTTCGCAAGAATAAACCACATACTGATAGAATTGCTACACTGTGAATTATTTTTGAACCATCAGTTGAATGGAGCTCATGAATTTGCATCAACTTTCTTGATTATGAGAAAGAATTTGATAGCTTGGACCTGAACCTTTATTGATAACATGTAGTACTTAGAAAGATCGTCACCTTTATACGGAACTTTACCAAAGAAGTGAGCTGGTTGGAGAACAGCGCACAGAAGCATTCTGAGTGAAGTCGGTGTCAGACAAGTGAGACAACTCAAGTATTTTTTCTTGCTAACTGTTTACTGGGTTATGAAAAACTTCACATCTTAGGAAAAACATGGAATACAGTGTACACTGGACGCTGCTCGGTGATTTGGCCCTTGTAAATGACTTGAGCTTTCTGTCACATACACAGTAACAAACCCAAACGAAAACTGCCAGTGTGGCAGCAGCCTCCATTTTCAGAGGTGAAAAAACGAGATTCTGAAGAAGAATAATACAGAGCACCGAACAACTCACACTTGGTGGAGAGCTCTGGAAGAGTTGGAAGTGTTTACCTACTTTGGTAGCACTACTGATTGGTGATGAAGATTTAATGCAGATGTACAAGCACGAATCGACAGAGCAAGAGTAAAATTTCTACAACTGAAAAGATATCTAGAAATCAAAATAACCGTCACAAAAAAAACATAGTCGAAATTTTCAACACTAACGCTAAACTTTTCTGTTGTATGGAGCTGAAACTGTTAGAACTACTACAGCCATTGTCAAAAAGTACATACATTTATAAAAATTTATCTACACCAGATATTCCAGATCCATTGACTAGAGACCATCAGTAATTCTCTAGTCAGCATTTCCGGAGTATTTAGTCCAGTTTGAATACCTAACTTCAACAGTAACAATATTTAAGCTACATGCTATACAGGTAATATGACAAAATAACATACAAAACCAAACTGATATATTAAAATGAATATTGTACATCTAAAAGAATATCCAATAAAAATAACACACATACATAATGTTTATCAACCGTTGGATCAGTTTCATCGTCAATCCATGAATGCGTTCTTTGCGGAACATAACCACTATCGACCAGTGACTGGGAATTCTTCAAGATTGAAAGTTATCATACAAAAATAATGTTTGTTCAATAAGTTATACTCATCTAGTTATATATTCAGAGTAATAAAAGCAACAATTGCCGATCCAATCAAACAAACATGGGTTGATATAAAGGAAATGTAATCGGATATTTAGATATAGTGTAAATGTTATCATCAGAGTTTTTTAGTCTGACATTCTTGTTTCATTATTACTACCGTACTCGTTAAATTTTTCATTTCTCTTTAAACTTTCGAGTAATTAACTTATTTACCCTCGATTATTTTCAGTGGTTGCCCGTGTACTATCTTTCGATGACTTATATTTAAGTTATTAGGACAATTAAGATTGCAAAGCAATCTATTTAAATACACTTAAGACAAAGAATAGGCATAGGTTGACCTTAAACAAACTCAGTTCCATCAACCTAATTTCTTATGTCATTGGATAAAGTGGTTTATTTAAACAGTTTAATCTGAGTTTAAATATAAAACATGCGTTTGCGCAATACAAAGTCATAGAAATTAACAAAATATTCTGTGATCTAATCAAGAAAAAAATATCCCATTTGATGAATTCATATTTCGAAGTACAATATCACATTTCTTTAACCTGATGACCATATACTGCACATTTTCAACCGAATTTAATTTGTAATGATGTCAATAAAATATATAGTTTTATGATCAACAATTATACACAGGGATTTAAAAAGAATACCTTCAATAAAGATTTTTTGAATCTGTCAGAACTTTAGTCCTCTTAAGATTTAAATTATTGAAAGAATTGTATAAAGTCAGAGTAATTTAATCCCTACATGTTTATTAGAAAGAACCAGAAGATTACTGTCACATTTATTTTCCAGAAGTGATATCATGTGAAAACATACAAGCATTAGATGTATGAAGAAGTTAAGCTAAACTCTAACACTGAATCAGTTGGCTTGTAGACAGAAACTTTAAGGTTTCGTCACAGAATTCGAAATAGGGTACCAGATGTAGATTACTTGAAGTGTAAGATCGACAACTTATGAATGTAAACGATATAAGACACAGGATTGTTAAGAGTTAGTGTAACATTCAGTTGCAGATAAGTAATTGTCATTTGGAATACAAAGGCATGGAAAATAGTTGAACATAATTTTTAAGTAAATTATTCTGAGCATGTAAAAACGCATTAAGGACTAATTCTTTTTTTCAAAATACTAGATAGGAATCTTTGAAGAACAGTACTAAAGCGTTATTAAAGTAAGAATCTCCAGCTCTAAGTTCAGTGATTAAAAATGAAATTTTCGTTGATGACCGAAAGGTGTATAAATGCATATACAGATGAAGATCAAACTATCAATCAGTATACACGAACGATAGTTTATAGACGTACTAGCCGGCGTACATTCTAATAATGTAAAGACAATGCAGTGTTGTCTTGAGAATTACTGAAGATAAATGGTAAAAAATGAGAAATAATCTGGTTTCATACGAAAAGTTGTACCGAATGTACTTCTTCGTAAGGACAGAAGAATCAATCAAGAACCACACCACATTTACTTCTAATGAATATGCTGGGTACAGCTTCTGGTATTGCTTAATTTTTAGTGTAACCTGTCTATTTTTTGAATAGTTATGAAAGGAATGCAAATTTCAAGGCCATCTAAATGTCACGCAAGTTTTGTGGTATACTTTCGTTAACGGAAGGCCATTTTGTGAATTATTTGACCAATTATCGCCAGCCAGAAAACGGAATTCCAACGCACATGAAAGGCTTCCTACCCAAGTTCCTTATATATATGCTCATAACTCAATGTTATTATATATATAGCGTTTTCAAGTGTAAACTTGATTTAAATTTTGTTCAACTCTTGTGTTATCTACCATTTGTAGAATAAAACAGGTCTAAAGTTCATAAAAAAAACTAACTCGTATTTTATTATTTACTTATCACCGTGACCTTAAATAAAAATGAATAAATACGATGAGTAAGACCTTACAGGTTTGTATATAAACGTATAGTCTATTAACGGCCTTAAGAAAACAATAACTTGTCATTGTATGATTATTTCACTAAGCTGAAAATAAAAAAAATTAGCAACTGTCTTTGTTACCATTACATATATAAGACAACTGAAACCATAAACTCATATGAAAACAAGTGACTAAACTTACATGAAGCGATTTCGATTGTTTGTCTAATGAATAAAAACAAAACATAACAAATAAACAATGTTATCGAAATTAACACAGAAATTTTACCAATTCGAATTCCACCATAATGAAAACAATAAAAACAGGCGTAGATTTATATTACAAAGCACAAATTCAAACACCATGACTCTTTGAAATTAACTAATTTAGAAAAATAGCAAGAACAAAGATTTGAACAGAACCACATGCGTTCGCTTGTATTCCGTCAGATTGCCATCTACTGCTTACAACCTGTAATATTTAAAAAATCATCATGCTTAAAAAACTTGTTGAAATTACTTACATAAACGAGTTTAGATGGTAGAAGTTTTTAATGTACATCAGTATAGTATATCGAGTATAGAAACGAATTTAAGAGACCATATAAAGCATTTCAAACATTTAGTAATAAAATAATTATGATATTTAGTGATGCCTCAAGGACTAGTAATTTATAGTCCTGATGTTTTACAACTTAATGCTAGTGATTGAAATAAATTAACACCAGTTTAAATAGTAAAAAGGGAACAAAGCAAAATAGTTTTAATACACTCTGAACACAGTTCAGTCTGAACATGTCAATGTCATATTATTTCCGGTCAAGGTGATTCTGTGTGAGACCTCAGTGTTATTTACGTGTATAAAGGAAGATAAGAAAAATATGTAATTCGCAAACATATATCTTATATATTAAAGAAAAGTCTACAGTAAAAGACCAATAAGCTAAAAACAAGTGATTACTCAATGAATAGATGCTAACAAAGAGTATGAATAAAATAAGTACAGCTCTTTTAACTAGAATAAGACTACTAATCTAGTAGACAGTCGAAGTAAACCGATGTGATGCTGTGATTTATTGAAAAGAAGAATTAAACAAGAATTTATGATTTCATGAAGAAATGTTTGTCACCAAGGTAGAGAAAGACTAATGACTGTCTCTTTTTGAACACATAAATCAAGTTTCCGACACTTGATGACTATGGCTTCAGCAGACTCCAGAAGACTGAAGCTTGGTTGTTTGTTCATCACTTTGACAGATTTCAAGGTATTATTCTAATGACCATTGTCCACAAGAAGTCTAGTGGTTGTTCCGTTTAAAGCACTTATCCCTAGTGATCGAAAACTTTTCAGAAAGTGTACAAAAAATACAAAATATGCCTTCCATTATTCTTAAGGTAGCTAGAGAATGTCAAGCGAAGCCACTCCTCATAGAAGCACAATTAAATGATTTCCCTAAAAACCCATCAACGCTTATTTAGAACTTAACTAAATTATGTAGAAACGGAAGCCCTATTAATGGGATTTGAATTTCACATCCTAAAAACAATTACTGACAGGATCAATACAGCTACATTAGAAAAATTGTTTGACCAGTTAAAATATTCATATAAACTAATAAACAGGGTTTTTTAAAATCAAAGTTGGTTGATGTTACCAACTAATTCAAAGATATAAGTGGTTCAACAGAATATCGAACCATGAGCACGCTTGCAGAGCTTCCTAAAGAAGAAAATGATTGATAATTGTACTTACAGTGCTCAAAGACCTCATGCATCACATCTGCTTCATATGTATGGTCTACCGAAAATGTACAAACATGATGTAGCTATTAAACACATCCTTGTAGTGATCAGTTTACCGTATCACAAGGTTAAATAAATTCTGACTAGCGGAGAAGTCTGAACCAGTTCGTCAGCAATTATCAGCATAAACGTTAAAGATTTAACGCCAATTTTCTGACAGACCAAATTATATTCATATTTTTGTTAAGCCGAAGGTTCCTTTTTTCATCCTTTTTCGATAAAATGCTATGTTTTGTAACTATTGACATAATATGTCAGTATTGTGATCTCATACCCTAACAAGAGTGAGTATTCAAGCAACTGATACCTATGTGCACAAAAAACGTTCATTTCCAGTTCACTAACTCAATATACCGTCAAACTGATGGTGTAATATGGGGAAGTCTATAAGGTTTAGTTATAGAAGACATCTTCACGTGTTTTCTTAAAAAAATGAGGCTTAAATAAGCAGTTTACAATATGCTGAAATACTGCACGTTGATGAGACGATTCTTACTTAAAACTCTTCAACAGACTTCATAATAAAATACAATTTATTGGGCAATTCGGAAACAACATGTTCCACTTTCTTGGCATTGCCATACAACGAAAAACAGTAGTAGTCCTAATAGTTGCTGGTTTATTTATCATTTAACGTCATCATTTAACAATTTATTATTATTAGCTATTGCTGTCTTAAAGACTGATGAAAAACACTCAAACGTTAATTAGAATACGCTAATGTATACAAAATCAGCCATTTGGCACTTGATCAATTTTCAAAATAATTTCGGGCAGAGATATTTTCAGTTCACGAAGGATTATTTATCTAATTCAGTGACGGAAAGATCATAGATAAATCATAAACCTGTAAAAGCCACAAATTCAAGAACAGAATTCTTGAATTTCATTCTCATATGAAGCAAACGTATTCTAAACATATTCTAAGACTTTGAGAGAAACAGGTGTATAATCGAATAAATATTCTATACAGTAGTAGTTAAAACGAGAAAACTTGTTATTGAGTGAGTTTTCTCACTGATCCATTATCAATTCATAATTGATTATCTAAAAATCATATTTGACTTCTCGATACACTGATAAATTGTTTTTCTTGATGTTAAACTAAACATGAATTATTTTCTGAAACGTAGCATTCACTTTCGTTTTCAGACAAGCATCGGGTTGGTTTTTTAATTTTATCCAAATACACACAATCTCTTTCTTGTCAAGAACTAAGAAAACATTTAGTGTTTATTGTAATGTGATGACAAGCAGATTGATTTATTGTTAAGTTTAGCAAACTTATAGGTAGTAGTAAAGCTTATTAAAACGATCAATGAAATATTTTGATCATGTTGAAGCGACTATTGATTGTCAAATCATGATTAAAAAAATAGTTTTCACAGGTAAACAAAAGAAAAAATTATTACCAGCTGATTTTAATCAACATGTTTTCAGTCAAAACATAAAAATACACAGAACACAAAGAGACATGTTTCGCTTGTATGTATGTATAATTCACGAATTTTAATCTGTAACTTGAAAGGTAGAAGAGAAAATAACCTACCTAGTTCTATTACAAATAAAAAACCAAAGCAAACTCAGACGTCGTTGTATGAACAAAACGGCGTATAAACAGTGAAAACACGGTGCTAACCTGGTATCAAACTAGACTGACGTTTTTCTTCTGTTTTGGCAGCTAAACAAAAATTTAAAGACGGTAAAATGAGCTTATTTGAAAGACATAACACACACGATCAACATCTCAAATAACATTCAATATGGAATAATCAGCTGAATACTACAACAACAATTTGATCAAGTTAGACATTAACACCGTTAGATACCGGCTCAGTGGTCTATCGGTTAGGGCGTTCGCGCACAATACCGAAGGTCCTGGGTCCGAATCCTGCGGGGTGCAGGAGTCGTGGATGCGCACTGCTGAGGAGTCCCATACTAGGACGAAACAGCCGTCCAGTGCTTCCAGGTTTCTAATGGTGGTCTAACACTGATCGGTTCATGGTTTCAAAAATGTGTAACTTAACAATCTTCACAACCCCGTAATGCAAACAATAAAATAGTCAGAGATGTTGAAAGCATAACTGAAACATTCTTGAGGCACTAAACCCCAAAGACATTTAAAAGTTTATTCTACATTTAACGCGTTGTACTTGATGACTTCAAGATGCCTACTTACATAGTGTCTTGTTAAAGGAATCTGAGATTAAAACTTCAGAACGAATGTCAATGAATCAAGTGTATCTCTAGAAAATTTATTCGACTCTTCGTTGATTTCATCTTTAAGATAAAATAAACTCGAAGCTCTTAGTCTATCATAGTTTCCAAAGTTATTTATCTTATTCATATTTCTGCTAGAAAGCTTACTCGATAATCTATGATGCTACTGAACTGAAGAACAAGATAAATCATTACTGTATGTTTCTTCTGAATAAAAGTAGGAAAACGCATTCATTTTATCATCGTTTACCCTTGATGAACTTTGGAAAAGTTTGAATCTGTTTCATGATTCAAAAGCCCACTGTATGTCTATCATTCTTTTAATGGTAGTTTACTGTCATCGTTACGAGCTCAACTAAAAAAACTATGATGCGAAACTAATGACAAATATAATTTAAATAAGAGATAGCTTTTATTCAAAATGCTAACACAAGTAAACAACAAATTAGATGTCTAAAAACCAATTTCAGTAATGAATTTGAAGTTTGTAGAAGTGTAATATTGTTAAACGACAAAAATTTGTTCAATGATAAAAAGAAAATTTATATTACTGGACCGAGTAGTTTACTGTCAGTGTTGCATTTTTCCACCTGTCTAAAATCAATAACGACCAGTCATAGAATGAAGGTTTTGAAGTTGGAAAAAAAGCACTTGAGAGAGATTCTAAGTCAAATTCAACAGCAAAAAGAAATCTCTCAAGCCGAAGTGATTAAGACAGGATGACAGCTATGACAATTTCGGTTTGAAATCAAGCTTAAGTTAAAATTAACTTGACCAGAGCATAAGTCTTCTAAGTCCCGGTATAGATTGAACTTCACAGTTAGCTGTGCAGTTATATAGAGTTCACTTCTAGCTTACTCTGGATAAATTTGCGTTACCAGACGAATAAATTTTAACTTTTCTATCTTAAATAGTACACTTAATGCTTTCAAAACTATTTTGGCTCCCGTATAACACGGAGTAACTCCACCTGGAGCCCCTCTGGGGTTACTGCCGGTTCGAAGCCCGGGTAAAGGAGAAGGGTTTGGCATGGGGTTGCGACCCCATCCTAAAAAAAATCTTACTGGCTAAAATAACGCTAACCAGAAAACATAATTCAAACCATTTTAACTCTGCCGTGGGAGTTAGTAGGTCTTCTTTCAGAAGAATTATGACGTCTCATGATGAAAGCCGAGTTCCCACGGAAGTCACGAGGCCGATGCCCCTTCTTACAACCAGAGAAACCATTCTTTTAGGTACAAGGAACTTCCGAACATTGTGGGAGACTGGAAGATTATTTCAAGTTGCTGCAGAAATGAAAAGATACAACCTGAAGGTACTTGAAATCAGTGAAACTCGTTGGACGCATGCAGGACAACTGAGACTAGCCTGAGGAGAACTGCCGTTATATTCTGGTCATGAAGAGGAAAATGCTTCACATACACAAGGAGTTGCACTGATGCTGTCCAAACAAGCACAAAAGGCACTGATAGGATGGGAATCTCATGGACCCAGGGACATCAAGTGGTGAGAGATTTGCAAACCTATGTGCTTCCAACGTACTGGTCATTGACGGCACAATATTCCCACCCAAACGCGTACACAAAGCAGAATAGATTTCAACGGATCACTCTACTCAGAACCAAAATCGACCATAACTGTACCAATAAAAACTTGAGAAGGACCATGGAGCACGTGAAAACCAAGAGAGGAGCTGAGATACCCTCAGATCACGACTCGCTAGTCGCCAAAATGAAACTGGATCTCAATAAACACTGGACAACGGGGCGGAAAACATCACAAAAGTTTAATACGGCGTTTCTTCGGTATACCGTAATACTCAACGTAAAAACTCAACTCAAGATAGCCCTCAGCCATAGGTTCTAGACCTTGCACGAACTACTTAATGGAGAGGAAACAGCCGTGGCGAACAATTGGAAAGGGATCAAGGAGGCAATCAGCTCAACATCTTACAAGGTTCTGGGAAACTACAAGCACAGTCGTAAGGAATAGACCTCTGTCGATACACTGTATAAGATTCAATAAAGGAGGAACAAGAAGGCAACAGTCAACATCGGCCGAACAAGAGCAGAGAAAAACAAGGCATAAGCTGAATAAAAAGAAGCAAACAAGCAAGTAAAGTTGAGAATCAGAGCCGACAAACGGAAGTATGTGGAAGATCTAGCAATGACGACGGAAAAGGCTGCAAGAGAAGGAAACATCAGACAATTGTACGATTGAACAAAGGAGCTCGCTGAAAACTATCGGAAACGAGAATACCAGTGAAAAGAAAGGAAGGCAAAGTAATCAGCAACACTGAAGAACAGCGAAACAGGGGGGTTGAGCACTTCAAAGAACTCTTGAATCGACCAGCCTCACTCAACACACGCAACATCGAAGCCGCGTCTACGGACCTCTATATCGATATTGGCCCACCAACAATTGAACGGGTTAGCATGGACATCAGACAAACGAAGAATGGCATATCAGAGGGATCATAAAACATTACAGCAGAGACAATGAAAGCAGACTTGGCAGCAACTGCATAATAATCCACGTTCTGTTCCACAAGATTTGGGATGAAGAACAAGTACCAACAGATTGGAAAGAAGGATACCTGATCAGAATACAAAAGAAAGGCGATATCAGCAAGTGTGAGAACTACAGAGGCATCTCTCTTCTCTCAATACCAGGCAAAGTCTTCAACAGGGTATTGTTAAACAGAATGAAGGACTTTGTTGACACTCAAATTCGAGATCAACAGACTGGATTTAGTAAGGATTGACCATATACCGAACAAATTGCAACATTACAGATCATTGTGGAACAATCAATTGAATGGGATTCATCAATCTACATCAACTTCATTGACTACGAGAAAGCACTTTCAACAGAGTGGACGGGACAACGCGATGGAGGGTTCTTCGACACTATAGTATGCCTGGGAAGGAAGTGAATATCATACGGAATTCTTATGATGGATTAGACTGCAAGATCGTACACGAAGGACAGCTAACAGACTCTTTCGAGGTGAAGACCGCTGTCAAGCAAGGTTGCTTACTCTCACCCTTTCTCTTTCTCCTGGTCATCGACTGGATTATGAAAACGTCAACGTCTGGAGGGAAGCACGGTATCAACTGGACAGTTAGGACGCAGCTGGACGATCTGGACTTCGCAGATGACCTGGCTCTTCTATCACACACGCAACAACAAATGCAAGAGAAGACGACCAATGTAGCAGTAGCCTCTGCAGCAGTACGTTTCAACATTCATAAAGGAAAAAGCAAAACTCTCCAATGCAACACGACATGCACCAACTTAATCACTCTTGATGGGGATGCCTTGGAGGACGTTAACACCTTTACATATCTGGGCAGCATCATCGACAATCAAGGTGGATGCGATGCAGATGTGAGGGCGCGGATTGGCAAAGCAAGGGCTGCACTTCTACAGTTGAAAAATATCTGGAACTCCAAACGACCTTCAACCAAAACCAAATTCACGATTTTCAATACAAATATCAAGACACTTCTACTGTATGGAGCGGAAACTTGGAGAACTACGAAAGCCATCATCCAGAAGATACAAGTGTTTATTAACAGTTGTCATCGCGAAATACTTCGTATTCGTTGGCCAGACACTATCAGCAACAACGTTCTGTGGGAAATAAAAACCAGATTCCAATGGAGTAGGAAATCAGGAAGAAGCGGTAGAAGTGGATAGGACACACACCACGAAAAGCACCCAACGGCGTCACAAGTCAAGCCCTCACTTTGGACCCTCAGGGTAGAAGGAAAAGAGGAAAGCCAAAGAACACATTAGACCGAGAAACGGAGACAGACATTAGAGGAATGAACAAAAATTTGATAGAACTGGAAAGGGAGTAGAGTAGGTTGGAGAATGCTGGTCGGCGTCCTAAGCTCCATGGGCGGTAATACGCGAAAGTAATTAAGTAAAAAACATGGAGTGTAACTCATTTCAGAAGCGTTGCCTTCTCCTGACAAGTTTTATTTTCTTAAAGACTGATAAACATGATACATTGGTTTGTTTTTCCTACCGTGTTGTAAGAGAGATATTCGCTTGATAGTAAGACATTGGTTAAGACTTATCGAGCGATTACTGTCCTATAGGGTTAATTAGGAAATATCAGAGAAGTAACTAGTTCAATGTTTTATAGTTAATAAACTACTAATATGTACGTTGTTCTTACTGAAAATAATCACGCTGGACGTCCGGTTATAATGATAAGTGGTACATTGTACTCATACGCTCAATTAGAAACAATCTACTATGTTCTTAGTTTTAAGGATTCGAGTCTTTCCTATGTTGATACTGAGAAATTAAATCCTGAGAGGACTACCTAAATGTCATCCAAAGAAACGGATAAGTTACAGTCTTTAATATCAACAATGGGAGGATCAAAACCCTAACAAATAAAGTAAAATCCCTTACTGTTGTACAAACTGATGGCTATCTGGACTTAGTAGCTCAGCAGATAACATACTGGGCATTTAAAAAACGAGAATACCAATACTGAGATATATGTATAGTCAGCTAACAAATTCAGAATTAAATGCAACGCGCCTCCTGAATCTTAATAATGGCTATTATCCGACTTTATTTAAATTATTCAGTATTTATCAGTCAACTGAAGTGGACAAGTCTGAAGTAGTGAACGAAAGAAGTTGTCATGATATATTTAGGTTCCATTTGTTATCGTAAATGCTTTGATTAAATTGTATGACCATATCAAGCAATAAGAAAACATTTTCTGTTTTGTCTTTCACGTACTTAAACTATTTTAAGTGAATACCATATTTATGAATCATGTAGATGTATAAACATTATTCAATATGCTAAATTTTCTTTCTAGAGGTTTTTCAACGTGACTCACTGAACAAATAACATTTGAATCGATCAATGTTAGACCACCATTAGAAACCTGGAAGCACTGGACGGCCGTTTCGTCCTGGTATGGGACTCCTCAGCAGTGCGCATCCACGACTCCTGCACCCCGCAGGATTCGAACCCAGGACCTTCGGTATTGTGCGCGAACGCCCTAACCGATAGACCACTGAGCCGGTATCTAACGGTGTTAATGTCTAACTTGATCATATTCACGGAGTTGCGCAACCTCATACACAGTCTTCGGTAGTTACTGTCTACACCCGAACAGGTTGAACTTCACTGGTCACGTCTTCCCACTAGAACTCGGAGAAGATTCCTCACGAAGCTAGTCACTAGTGAGCACAGGTAATTTGCATTACGGGGTTGTGAAGATTGTTAAGTTACACATTTTTGAAACCATGAATCGATCAATGTTAGACCACCATTAGAAACCTGGAAGCACTGGACGGCCGTTTCGTCCTGGTATGGGACTCCTCAGCAGTGCGCATCCACGACTCCTGCACCCCGCAGGATTCGAACCCAGGACCTTCGGTATTGTGCGCGAACGCCCTAACCGATAGACCACTGAGCCGGTATCTAACGGTGTTAATGTCTAACTTGATCATATTCACGGAGTTGCGCAACCTCATACACAGTCTTCGGTAGTTACTGTCTACACCCGAACAGGTTGAACTTCACTGGTCACGTCTTCCCACTAGAACTCGGAGAAGATTCCTCACGAAGCTAGTCACTAGTGAGCACAGGTAATTTGCATTACGGGGTTGTGAAGATTGTTAAGTTACACATTTTTTGAAACCATGAATCGATCAATGTTAGACCACCATTAGAAACCTGGAAGCACTGGACGGCCGTTTCGTCCTGGTATGGGACATCGATTCATGGTTTCAAAAATGTGTAACTTAACAATCTTCACAACCCCGTAATGCAAATAACATTTGATAAAAGATGTCATTTTTATTTTTGTTATTATCATTTATTATTATTCCTAAATATTTACGTAAACAGTAGATTTTTGTAATCAAACAACATAAATCTTAAGTAATTTTCGCCAGTTTATTCCTTAATCCATTTGATAGAGGATATTGATTGTAATTGGAGTATACCTGATAAAAGCCTAAATGAGGACAGTTTGTGTTAACGATTAATTGTAACACCTAGATGCATGTTTTAAAGTGTTTATTAATGCACAAGAATGATTGTTTATTTAAGCATGTGTTATTAACTCAATATTTGCCATCTCATGTGATGGCAATACAAGATTTGATGCGCATATTCTGTATTAAGACAAATAATCCTTAATTTCTTCTCATTGTGTAAATGATGTCAATTCTTAATGGAACACATTTAAACTGATCGGATAAATGCAATACGAAACATGACTGTTCACCAAACTTGCGGTTTGAATACCACACATTAATCTTATATTACGACTGGAAACCAGGATTCATTGAACAATTGTTTCATCCTACTGTCAGCCTCATTATAATCGAGTTAACATAACCCCATGACTATCAAATTTACGACGTTCAAGCCTATCGACGAGTGCTTAACCTGAAGACTACTGAGTCAGCACTCAGTAGTATAAGATTCTAGCAACAGTCAACTTGTTTTTAAGATGTCTCAGACCAAGATTTAACAGCATTTCAATGCTTCCTAGTTTTTAATGGCTGTCAGTGCAGTGAAATTAGGCTACAAATTTTTGAGATCTTCATGACTCCCCATACTAACAAAAAGTATCTATCTTTTATTTGAACAAATTTTTTTAGTTTAAAGTAAGAATTCATGACATTGTAATACAACTGGTACATAAATTAGAATAGTTTTGACTAATAGCCATATTCGAGATTTACATTATCAGGAATCAGGCAACTGTGGAATGTCAAGTTAACTGGACAATTAATGAATCTCTCATTCTTTTTGATTTTTTAGTCTATTGACATGAATAATTTATACAACCTACTGGTAGGCACATTTAATTTGAAAATCAAACATAAGCTCACTTTCATTTTGAAAAGAACACTATGATTAATTTTAGTGTAAGTTTGTAGCAGCTGAACATGAGAACACTGTGTCGTGCGTGAGGATTCTTTCTAATTTAACTACCAATAAAACCTACTGAAGACTAACATATAAAGTAATGACAAGGAGCCGACAATGAATTTATTCCTCATGAGTAAAAATGAAGAGAATCTAGGTAATACTAAACATAAGCAAAGCTTAATGTCATGCAATTCGACCACACAAAACCTGATCTCAAATAAGGAAAACATTTCTAGTATTAACCAGTTTTACTCTGCTGTTTAATCACTATTCAGATATGTGAAAAAGACCACCTTCAAATAAATCAGATTTCAGTTTAATTTCAGTTTTCCATACAAAAATAAGTTTAATAATTCTTACTGAAAGATTATTCTGTTCCAAACAGAACATTTTCTCTTGGGATGATATTCATAATTTTATGGTTTCTTTCTGAAGAGAGTAGTACATTATGAGGCAACTATGGATAAATCAAAAACTGCACTGACTTTTTCATATCATCATGTGTTAATTTTTTTACAAAATCATCAATCATCATTTTAAACTGAAACGAAAAAATTCGTTTCTTTTTATTTTTCAGTAAAAGGTAAATATTTTTTGGTTTACATACATAAAATCATAAAAAGTATTAAAATAAGAATGTAGAACTATGTGAAAATAGTTTAACAGACAGTTATGTAATTCTTTTAGACATTCGAAACTTGATTATTCAAACTTGTTAGTTATAAAATTTAAGCATTCGAGTGGAAAAATGAGTCATAAAGTTTCGAGTGTTAAGACATAGATATATAAACAGACAAATAGAGAGAGAACAGCACCACATAAAGATGGTTATCCTTCTTTCATCATAGCCTGAATATTAAGTACACTTGAAATGATTTGAACAGTTACAAGACCTCATCAATAGATAACATAGTAGTTTGGAAAAGATTACAGATTCGTTCTACTTCTACAACCAAGGTGTTTTCTTTCATCGAAAAGCAAAATCTTGAAACAATATTCCATGGGTAACTAAACCTGTACAGTACTCTCTTATATAAACGAAAAAGCAGTACTAATATTTAGCATACTGTCTCGTATATGGTGATGGCGTTAATCCAAAAAAAAAACTGTGGCAAAAAAGGACTGAAAATCTTAAAGCTGTCAACATTTATCAATCCTATTTTATAAATAGATGAGGCGTTCTGGTATTTTAAAGACGTTGCTGAAACTCATTTTGTTCAGCCTTCATCAAATTAGTCATATCTTTAGAAAATAACCTTACTGAGTGGGAAAAATCTCTTTCTGTACAGGGATAAGTAAAGTTTTGACTTCAACTATATCACAAAAAATAATCAGTTGTTTTCAAGTATCAAAATACAATTGCTGGAAGTTGGTTTAATGTAACTGAATGAATATTCCTTTCAAATGTAGAACATCCCTATGACATTAGTAATTAGTTTATGCAAGTATTTTGCCATTACTATTTTGTTTGGATTAGTCTAGTCCGCGTAGGTTTTGACAGAATATTTCTAAGAATTCTTTACAACAATTTTATACTGGAATCAATATATGGTGAATAAAGCTTAGTAAGGGAATACATATTTATTGTATAGAATGTCTGATACTTCTTGCCCCATAGATTTTAATAGTTTATTTCAGACTTGTTTAATAATAATGAATAGTAGCCTTAGTAATTCTGAAATATAACCTCTAAAATAATTATTTCTAGATTTAAACATTTAGGTCATTTAAGAGTACAAAAAGTTCTTTCCTAGGCAAACTTGCCACTTATTCACTCACCAAAACCTTACAACTAGCAACACAGAAACGGTAGAATCCTATGTTCACTGGTCAGCACTTCTTTAAAGTGAGAATTGTGATGACCAATTTTTACAAGATGATGTTACTAGATTATATTGTGGTTCTGAAATTACGATTTGACAACACATAAAGATGTAATAAACAGTGATCGGTTAAATAATATTTTTTATTATAATTCAACCTGATTCACACACAATACCGAAACGATTTAAGACAACGAATTTGCTCTGAGTATGGAATAAATTCTCTGTAAGATCAAATCAGATAGCTTATTCATAGAGCTGAATTCCTGAATTTTGAGAGCGGGAAAAATGCGACCATATGCCATAAAAAGAGAAATTTCTTAGGAATCTGCCATCAAAAATCAACAGAAAATAAGACGTGCGATAATTCAAACAAAAACTTACTCAATTCTTGCACATTTGCTGGTCGACTATGAAGTGTGCCAGATTTCGCTTCACCTAAAAGAAGAAGTTGATTAGCATTTGAGCACCTGATATGCGGATGAAACAAGTGATAAAAACGTTACTAGGAAACATTTTGATACAGAAAATAAGATAAGTTAAATTTGATTTAAGAAGGATTGCCTAATATCTAATTTTCTTGTATTATAATAAGCAACAAACATAATGCTAGAATATCGCATGTACAAACGGAATGATGGAAATAATTTTGATATCTTCACAGTTTTCTGAAGTGACAATCGAATTCCATATCAAAGCATTTAGAATTTTATGGCTTAAAATATCCTGTTGCAGAAAATATGGGCCTTGAGATCACGGTTTTGTCAAAGTATCTTAGAGTACCATGTAGCTCCTATCTTGGTGGTATATAACCATACCTGTTGCACCACTTTTTGGAGGTTAATCTCATTAACAGTAATACTAAATGTGAACTTCAAAACGTATAATTATGCACTGATAGTAATCAGGGTGATTTACCACTTGGATTTTAATAAATGGCACCTCGCAGTAGCAGATTTTTCAGAAGACTCTGAAATATTTTGATTTTCTAGACGGAAGAAAAGATTTTTTTCTCACTTTTATACCAAGTATAAAAGGTAAAATAAACACGATTAGAGATTCCGATTGTGCGGGCCAATCGCACTTTGACAAAATTAAGATCAAACTATCAGAATTAATTCTTGTCCATTGTGGTGGAAATTACACGCAATGTGGCATTTAAGTAGTGTACAGTGATATGCAGCCCTGAAGTTACAACCGGAGAGAATGTCGGATCGGGATGCATGGCTCGATCGACTAGAAGAAATGTGAAGGAAGACAGTCAGTAATCTTCTTGATTTGCAAATGAGTCTGTTAGTAAACAGTCTTCTCTAAACATTATACTATTTCATCCGATCATGACGTTTTTTGTTCATTATGCCATCACATCATAACTAGGATAATATTCACAGGACTTGCAAAACAAACTAGTTCACTACGTGAACACTAAAATGTTGAAATTTCTGACTGCAATGCACAGAGATTGCGTTTTATGTTTATAAATCACTACAGCATATCAAATTTTATTATAATAAGATCATTTATTCGATTGAATAGGTTAACAGCTTACTGTTCATTGACCGAACATATCCATAACAACTGGTTTGTTTTTGTGAAACTACAGTATTTTTCTTTCCATTCGAATACTATCTGTAAACTGAGTTGGTCATGGTCAATGTTTCATTAAGTGAAATTTTCAAAACTATTTACTCAAAGGGTTTACTGTTACATGAAGAGATTGAGACAATCTATCCACTTAACAAATGCTATTAAGGATTAGAAATTTAAACAAACTTTAAAAAAGCTGTTATTTAGTAAGATGAACTGTACGATATATGTGCTTACGTTGAATTCGTTGCATAGAAGAACGTAAAGCTTCTGGACCACTAACGCCTCGTACACGACCAGAGGCTCTAGCTTGTTTCAATTGTTCTGTGAACCATACCCCCAGTTTACATTTGTGTAAACTAAAAAAGAAACGCTAAAGTTATCATGTTGAGCTGTAATTTCTTAAAGTTTTACAGATTTACCAGAGTTGATTAAAAAGGTGATTTAATTTTTACTGGTGTAACATGTTTTTCCGAAATAAATAAGCAAAACTGGATAGTTAAAATCGTTCTCCTCTAACTTTGCAGAGGAGATTCATTGTTTTAATGTCAACTCAGTAGTTGATGGCCTACCTGAAGCTGTTCCAGTGACAAAAACGTTACTTCCTGGACATGTTAAACAACTTTCATAGACTTTATATCACGAACTTAGTTTACTTAGATAACCATTCAAACCTGGAAACACTCGACTGTGGTTTCAGCCAACTGTGAGACTACCGAGCAGTGAATAACCACAAGTAATTGTTTTAATTCATAACAATATTTAAAAATGTTCTAGTTTCTTCACACATTCGATTACGTGATCATCTCAATACAATATTGTTTATTTTAGTCAAGTAGTTGTTGTTTTATTTTGTTGGTATTACTACGATTAACATTAAAAACCACTTTTAATCATTCTATATTTTCGTTTCCTCTTGAGTTATTATAATTGTAACGAGTATTTTTTTTATTATCGTGATTGGTGTTCAGTTGCATTTTCGTAATAAATATCAAATTTATCTGTTTGTCCACTCGAATGATAACCGTTGAAAGAGGTCGTGAACTCTGACATTTATTCTGTTCACATTTTAAAAATAAATTTGCATGTATGAATTATTGCATACATGTTACTCCTAAAATTGTATTTGTAAATCTGCCTTTTATGGATAAAAAACAGTGAGTGTGTAGAGGATTTAAGAAATTCTTTTTTTACAAAATAGGTTTCTATAGTATTTAACTTGTAAATGCTATTAACAAACAGAAGATAGCCAAAACGGGATAGATAGTTGTATATCGAACTGCGATTACGGCAGAACACTTTGCTAGAAAAGTACGAAACGGACAATATTAAAACTATACAGTAGGGGACGCTTGAAACTCATCGTGAGGATGAGGGCAGCATAGATAGGAGGAATACTATTGAGGAGTATTTAAGTGAAATAGAGTATTTTGTATGCCAGAGACAATAATAAATAATGCCCGAGTTCGAAAAAACCTAAAAACTTGAACAAGTTTTATTAGTTATACAAAAGTTTTGTGTTTTCTTCTACATTCCTCTCATTTCTGTTTATCTTTGATGAGTCATGACAAACACAGCATTGTCAATACTGTACTAGACCACTGCTTTATCTCCTACTAGTGTATATCTGTGTTCTTATCAGGGAATCAATCTAAAACACCGAAACAATTAAACTAGTTATCCAGAGACTAGCAGATCAAAATTAACGTCAGTTTATCATCAGTTACTTACATCATAGACATCTGTCTCAGTTCATATATGATTACGTTTACCAAATATCGATTTAATCTGTGACTTTAATAAATTCATCTTTGAGCCATTAACTAGCGGGTGAATGATGAATAATCTAAATATAAGATAACTTCATACCTCTGATTAAAATGAAGCTGGATAGTCACTGGTAATAGCATTTCTTATAGAACGTGGTTACATGCTTTAACATACTACAAATAGAGATAACATTCATTAGGATGCTGGCTATGAACGTTAAGGTGGTATCACTTTAAATGCTCATAAAACAAAAGAATAATATACTACGGTCAAAGCAAAGTTAGGTGAGAAAGATTTATGACAGGACAGAAAGTTTTGTAAGAAAGAAAATAAATCATAATGATTATATTCAAGTGACAGATAACAAATGAAAGCCAAAATGGTTAGAACAAACAAAAAAAAGAAAGGTTCTTTTCTTATCTGACCAATACGAGGGTGGAGGTAATGATTAAATATAATTCTATTGAATCACATGGTAAAGACTTTCTTCATTTTATGTTTTTCTTAAATCCATGTTGTTTCTGTTTCATTTCGTTTCTATTAACAACTATTTTAATAAACATATATTTACTAGGTTCACTGGTAATTTTACTATTTAGAGATCATCATGAACTGAAATTAGTTGGAGGATTGTTGTTTTAAAACGTCACTTAACTGGAATGAATTCCAGTGAACTAACCATCTTAAAATGCTCACAAGTTTTTCATGACTTAATAGTATTAATAATTCGATATACTTTGAGGAATTTCATAAAAAAACTGTCTTCTTAAGTCAATTTACTTTTTTGCCATTTCAAGGTCAAGTCGCTTAATCTGGTTGAGAGTTTAGACAAAAATTAATGTCAACTGTATAAAATTATTACAACTATTAATAGAAAATATTATCGTTTATTTTATTCGAGTTGCTTGCAGGAAATTTTAAAGACAATTATTATTTATTGTAGTCCATATGACAACTTATAGTGAATTTAATGAGTTCAAATGATCAATTTCATCCACATAATCAAAAATGGTTTTTTAAACTTATCTATTATATCCCATATGCAGCTAAATTAAAAATTATGCCTAGGCTTGTTTTGAAAGTACTAACTGTAATATAAAGTATTATAAAGACTTGGAAAAATTTTATATGTTCAAACGAAACTGATTTGCCTAATCTTAAACAAGAAATAATGACAACACACTGAAAAGGCATTTCTGTCTGTAATTAGGAAATGCAGAAAATATTTTCATTTACAATCGGAACTTTATGAAATATATTCAACTAGTGGTAAGGTCGAACAAAGTACCTGACTACAGTTGACATTTCAAATAGCTATACTTCAAGACTAGGATGCAGCAACTGTACAGGATAATAAAATAAACAAAGAACGTATTTTAGATGGGCCTTTATTATGGTAACAGACTGTCTCTATTAATATCATGGTTTCCTCAAACCATCTAACATCGACAACTTACCATGTGAGAATTAAAAACAATTAGTGAGGTAAACTTAAGCTTATACAAAGGATTGTTTAGATTATAAATATCTTCTCATATACAATTCATAAACAAGAGATAAACGAATATCAAAAGATTCTGATCATGGTTTGGATTACAGGAGAAAGTTGGCTAAATATCCATTGGAAACATGAGAATAGTAATTCATCGGTGTGTACCTAGCAAAAACATTTTGAATCTGTACATTTTGAAACTCAAACATTCTGAAACTAGCATTTTTATGCCAATTTTTTAAGATTTAAACTCAATCATAATATTTTGTGAGCAATCAGACCAACAAGACCAGATCTGATATTATGAACACTTTAGGGACCAGTTCAACTGGCCACGAGCCACTCTTCGGTTACCCACGATCTCCAGTCATCCTGAATGGCAAATCGACGTAAGTCCCCCTAGTCTTAATGACGTTGAGAAAGCGTTAGGAAATCTGAAGCGAGGACGAGCTGCAGGTCCTGATAGACTGACCCCTGAGATATTAAAGGATGGTGGTCCAGTTTTAGCAGCTAGGTTGACTGAGATCTTAGGTAGAATCTGGGAACTGGACGTAATCCCATCCGACTGGTCTCAATCCTTGATTGCCCCAATCTATAAGAAAGGACAGAAGTCTTCTTGTGACAATCACAGAGGAATAAGTCTAACTAATATAGTATCTAAAATATTGGCCTCAATAATACTTCGACGCTTAACGAAAGCTCGTGAAGAGCAGACTAGAGAAAACCAGGCTGGTTTTCGACCTGGACGTGGCTGTATAGACCACGTCTTCACACTCAGACAGGTCCTGGAACATAGACACACATTTAGGCGTCCTACAATAGTTGTTTTCCTAGACCTTAAGGCGGCATTTGACTCTGTTGATCGTAAGGTTCTGTGGCAGTGTCTGTCATTGAAAGGTGTACCACAGAAGTACATTAACCTTATACAAGCCCTTTACTCGAACACCACTGGTCGGGTGAGGGCTTATGGCGAACTGTCACCGGAATTCTCTACATCAAGTGGTGTCCGTCAGGGATGTCCACTTTCTCCATTCTTGTTTAATTTTATCATAGACATGCTCCTAGACATAACATTATCCTCGTCTGAATTTTCAGGAGTAGACCTTCTACCAGGTGGCTCGCTTATTGACTTAGAATATGCCGATGACATAGTCCTACTTGGTGAAGACGCTGACAAAATGCAGAGTCTTCTGAATACCCTAAGCAACAATGCAAGCATGTTCGGGATGCGGTTCTCAACCTCGAAATGCAAAATGTTGCTTCAAGACTGGGTTTCATCGGCACCTGAACTAGTGATAGGGAGTGAAGTGGTCGAACGTGTAGACCGCTTCACTTATCTTGGGAGTCTCATCAGTGCTGATGGCCTGGTGACTGACGAAATCTCGGCACGGATACAGAAAGCTCGATTGGCTTTTGCCAACCTGCGTCACTTATGGCGTAGGCGAGATATCCGTTTGCTGACTAAAGGACGAGTGTACTGTGCAGTAGTTCGCTCCGTCTTACTTTATGGCTGTGAAACATGGCCAGTGAGAGTAGAAGATATTCGTAGGTTACTGGTTTTCGATCATAGGTGTCTACGAAGCATTGCTCGTATATCGTGGGACACCCGAGTGAGCAACGCTGTTATTAGGAAACGGGTACTAGGTAAGAATGGCAGATCAATCGATGAAGTGGCGAAACTTCATCAGTTGAGGTGGTTGGGACATGTGTTGCGTATGCCCAACCACCGGCTGCCTCGTCGAGCCTTGTTTTGTAGTGTAGGAATAGGTTGGAAGAAAGTTAGGGGCGGCCAAACCAAAACATGGCACAAATGCATGAAGTCATTGACTAGTGGACTGAGCCATGTCGGTAATTGTCGACTACCTGGTTGGGGTCCGCGAGATGATAATAATCGATGGCTAGAGACCTTGAATGACATGGCTCAGAATCGTTCGCAATGGCGCCGGTGCATTTATTCTCTGTGTTCTCTCAAATCCTAATCTTCTGGACTCTTCAACCCCTCTAGTTTCGACTCTCTAAACTTTCTCACTGAATCATACTTCTTGAATAGTATCTTCTAATCCTAACCTCTCCTGTTATTTCTAATTCCCTTACTAC